CTAATGGTATCTAAGCATCCAATGGCTGAAGAAGTTGTAAGGGCAATAAGGATTACCAAGTAGTGCAGATGGGAGGGCAGCCTAGCACAATTAATTTTGAATAAGACAGCTTAGCATGACTCAGTAATCAAGTATATGTTATATATCCTATGGAAAAAATGTTTACATGCACCAGGGCTAATTATAAGACCACAATAGCTCAAAATTGTTCACATTTTCAGTATTGTCAATTTGGGATGAGAGCATCACTCAGAGATGCGTACTTGTATTGCACAAGGAAGGTCGTGGATTGGACTCCCAGCATCAGCATCAGCAGGGATAATTTAGCTGTGATTTAATTCTGTACTACACAGGAAGGAAATGAATAATTCAGTTACATACAACATGGAAGATCCTTATAGACATTATCAAGCAAAGCAACAGCAAAACTGCATAAAGAGTTATTCTATGAAATTTAGAAAGCAGACATAAATTAGATATACTTATGTAATGAAACTATGGACAGAAACAAAAGAATAATTATCATAGAAGTCAAGACAGTGACTACCTCTAAAGAAAGGGAAGGCAGGATCTCTGGAGTACCAGCTAAGCCCAATTCCATTTTAAAAAAATTTTTTTAGGCCAAATTTCATTTAAAGGGCCTATCAAGGATATAAAAACATAATAGTTTGATTATAACACTGAATAAATGTGTCTTCTTTTAAATGTGCTATGTAAAGTTAGTCTACTCTGAAGCCATCTTGGTTAACATCCCCAATAGAGTGAAGTTAGAATTCCTTCAGGGTTAAAAAAAAAAAAAGAATTCCTTCAGGGTGATGCCAGGTTCCATTAAAATTTCTTTACAATTGCTTGGTTAAAGAAGTCATTGTCTTCAGAAACCTTGGTGTAGCTGAACGGACAGCTACTGTTGTGACCTCTGAATCTGACCATTGAAAAGGTCACCCAAGCAAACATTCAGCTACTTGGCTATAAAAATGATTGTTGGTACATCCTATATATCTAAATTGAATGTACCAGATACAATGATAGATGGGATTGAAGCTATGTATCATCCATTATCATGTGTAATCAATAAACATTTAATTCTCTTGAAAAAAAGAAGGGTACAAAGACCCAAAGATCATGTGACTAAATTTGTAAATACTGTATATAAAAGATATATAACAAGTTTATAAGCTATTAAATATGTTTCACCATATCATGACAAATATACCTTTACAACTAAATGGAAGGCCTGATTTCTGGTGAGTGGGATTCAGTAGGATTCCTTAGAGGGATTTCCTTAGAGGGAATGTAATCTAGAGGGATTCCTTAGAGTCCCATACAGAAAAGCAGGCTACTGTCTTGGCGGTATTTTCAATAGCCATTAACCTTGCCTGGCACAGTTATAGGGGTTATGGAAATTTAAAGCTGGTTCTACCTGGCATGGAAATTTAAAGCAGGTTCTTGTTAGTGTATAGCACAAATTTAGTTATACAGGGGGCCGGTAGTTTTTAATCTTCAGTTATCTCTGATACAACTTATATGAAATAATTGTTCTGTTAACTGAATGCCACTCTGTAATTGCCAAAAAAAAAAAAAAAAAAAAGGTCTGCAGCCATTTTATTGACATTCTCAATGCTTCTAAGTAAATATAAAATTTTTTTAATTAAAAAAAAAAAGTGGGCTAGGGATTTGGGCGAAGAATTTAGAGATCCTGAGAACTCACAGCATAGTCTAGCATATAAGGGTTTAGGGTCTGCCAGGGAGATAGTTCACTAGAATAAGCTCTTGCCTGGCAAGCACAAGGCCCTGAGTTCAATCCCTGGTACTGCAAAAAAAAAAAAAAAAAAAAAAAAAAGGGTTTAGGGTCTGAGTAGGCCCAGAGATTCCTTTGCACAAGGAAAAGGCACACAGTCAGAAGAAGGCCAAAGCACGGCCCCCTGAGAAATAGGACCAGAGCAGGGGTCCTTGCTGCCAGGACTAACATTTCCATAGAATCAGGCAATAGCATAATTTTTAACCCAGCCACTCACTCTATACTTACTTGTTAAACCAAAGATTTTGTGCACTTTTCTCACAAATAATGGGACAGCTACCATATGCTTACTGATAGAATGCACTGAGGACACATCATTTTTTAAAACTTTCTGCTAAAAACACATACTCTGAACTTAATCATGAAGATACTACTGACATATACAAAGCCAGGACTTTCTATAAAATATCTAAATTCTTCAAAAAGGAAAAAAGAGCAGCAAACTATTTTAAACTGAAAGAAACTAAACAGATGTAAAAAGGAATGGATTACTTAATCCTAGAATGGATTCCAGATCAGAGGAAAAAAGGCTATAATGGACATTACTGGGATGACAGTTGATTAAACTGAAATATGGACAACTGAGTATATCAATGTTAAAACTTCTCATTTCAATAAATGAGTTGGGTTATTTAAGAAAATATCTTCTTCTTTTTTTTTTTTCCTTTTCAGTTTTTGGTTTTTGGGTGTTTT